ATATAAATTCTATTTTATCATTGAATGAAAATGAATGTTCTGTTTAAGTAAAAGAGACACAACATCTGTGTTTAGGAAATCATTCAAGAACAGAAATGAGTGCTTCTTATTATTAAGCCAAATATAATGCTATCCTATGGGATGAATAAGAAAAAACTTCTAACGCCTCAGTCTTTGCTCCATTAGATATTGCCAGACTCTTATTCATTTTCCCTAGACTTGACTAATGTTCAGCTAGCTTCAACCAGTTTGAAGCAGTTCTCAATGTAATTATTTCAAACTTGTCTTTGTGTTCCATATTGAAATCCAGCTGACCTAACTGGAAAATAGTTTTCATGCTACTATAAGTTAAAAAATAATTGTTGGATGTAAGGCAGTGCTCAAAAAAGAGGGCAGTAAGAAGCAGAGGAAAGGAAAATATATTTTTGTCAATTTCACATGCTTCATATGACTTTTAAAAAATACTGTACTTATAGCCCATTTTATGAATGCTGTTTCTACTGTTTTTACTGTTTGTGAACCGCTGTGAGTCGCCTTCGGGCTTGAGATACAGCGGTATATAAGCAAAGTAAATAAATAAATAAGTAAATAAATGAATATAACAAAGGTATCTATTTCTAACAACAAAAATAAAATAAAATCAGATGTTGTACTATAAGACGATTAAGAATATCATTACATAAAATAGTATTAATAATATTGCAATTTCAAAAATATTACAATATTTATTTATTTATTTATTTATTTATTTACTTTGCTTATATACCACTGTATCTCAAGCCCGAAGGCGACTCACAGCGGTTCACAAACAGTAAAAACAGTAGAAACAGCAGTGGTTCCATGCAACATATAACAATTGACTTAACACATTATCCATAAATTACCAATAAGCAATTACAATGCACAATTATTACGAAAAACAACCGTACCCAATCTTCTCATCATCCAAGCGTAGTCCAGGTTCGTCGTCCATTGTTCCATTCCTATATTCCATTACCAGATTGCACTAAATTACTCAAACGCCTGCACAAACATCCAGGTCTTCACCTTTTTGCGGAATACCATTAGAGATGGTGATAGTCTAATGTCCGTAGGAAGGGCGTTCCACAGCCGAGGAGCCACCACCGAGAAGGCCCTATCTCTCGTCCCCGCCAGCCGAGCTTGAGAAGCAGGCGGGATCGAGAGCAGGGTCTCCCCGGAAGATCTCAAAGTCCTGGTGGGTTCATAGGCAGAGATGCGGTCAGATAGGTAGCTTGGGCCAGAACCGTTTAGGGCTTTAAAGGCCAACGCCAGCACTTTGAATTCAGCCCGGTAGCAGATCGGTAGCCAGTGGAGTTGGCGCAACAGGGGGGTTGTATGCTCCCTGCGCTCCGCTCCTGTTAAAATCATGGCTGCCGAGCGTTGGACTAGTTGGAGCTTCCGAGCTGTCTTCAAAGGCAACCCCACGTAGAGAGCGTTGCAGTAGTCTATACGGGATGTAACCAGAGCGTGGACTACCGTGGCCAAGTCAGACTTCCCAAGGTACGGGCGCAGCTGGCGCACAAGTTTTTGTGCGAATGCTCCCCTGGTCACCGCCGAAACCTGAGGTTCCAGGCTCAGCGATGAGTCCAGGATCACACCCAAGCTGCGAACCTGCGTCTTCAGGGGGAGTGCGGCCCCATCCAACACAGGCTGTATCCCTATGCCCTGTTCGGCCTTGCGACTGACCAGGAGTACCTCTGTCTTGTCTGGATTCAATTTCAATTTGTTCGCCCTCATCCAGACCGTCACAGCGGCCAAGCACCGGTTCAGGACCTGGACAGCCTCCTTAGTAGCAGGTGGAAAGGAGTGACAGAGTTGGACATCATCCGCGTACAGATGACACCGTACCCCGAAACTCCGGATGATCTCCCCCAGCGGCTTCATGTATATGTTAAACAACATGGGAGACAATATTGAGCCCTGAGGAACCCCACAAGACAATGGTTGTGGGTTGAACAGGTGTCCCCCAGCAACACCTTCTGAGATCGATCCTCCAGGAATGACCAGAGCCACTGCAGAACAGTACCTCCAAGACCCATCCCCGCGAGGCGTCCCAGAAGGATACCGTGGTCGACGGTATCGAAGGCCGCTGAGAGGTCCAGCAGCACCAACAGGGACACACTCCCCCTGTCGAGCTCCCGGCGCAGATCATCCACTAAGGCGACCAAGGCTGTCTCGGTAACATGTCCCGGCCTAAAGCCAGACTGTGCCGGGTCTAGATAATCCGTGTCAATATGGAAAGTTTTCTTTCGTGTCAGGAGTGACTTGAGAAACTGCAAGTCACTTCTGGTGTGAGAGAATTGGCCGTCTGCGAGGACGTTGCCCAGGGCACACCCGGATGTTTTGATGTTTTATCATCCATGTGGGAGGCTTCTCTCATGTCCCCACATGGGGAGCTGGAGCTGACAGAAGGAGCTCATCCACACAAACCCGACGGAAGTTGCAATGCGTCATGGGATGGGAGCTGGTGGGCTCTGTAGTGAAAGGGAAGGCAAACCGACACATGCTGCCAATTACACCCCCGTCTGATGATGTGGAGTCTGTCATTAATCAAAATGGAGACTAGTTAAGAAATTACAATAGAACTAACACTTGGAAGGGCAGTTATGAAGAAACTAGACAAGATCCCCAAATGTAAACATATATCATTAGATATCATCTGTTCCATAGTATTTCTAATTTCTGTGTATGAGTGTGAAAGCGAGACAGTAAACAATGTTGACAGGAAGAAAATCAACTCAGTTTATATGTCTTGCTAGGTAGGTGTTCTAGCAATACTATGGAGTGCCAAAATGAAGTTAAGATGACTAAAACCAGGTTGCTCCACTTTGGACATATCATGAGATTCTGATATGGTAAAAGGTGATAACGCTTTGTAAAATGGAAGCCAATGGGAAAGAGGGATACTGCTTAACAGGGAATGATTCAATTAAGAAAGGACAGCTATCTGGGGTTACAAGAGCTAAGCATGGCAGTTGATGATTTGTGTTCTTGGAAGTCTCTTATTCTTAAGCTCACCATAAAGCTAAAGTTAACTTGATGGCAAATACCAACAACAGCAACAACAAGGCACCTCTGTAGCTACTCATGTCCTCTCAACTTTATTTATAGTTGCTATAAAAAGCTAATGTGGAGGGGAAGGGGGAGGAAGTTATGTAATATCATAAACAACTTGACCAATCGTCATTCCTAAGTGTCTTTGTTCGCCCCAAAACCTATTGGCTTTGCATGTTATGAGAACTGTATGGTCAGACCTTCATTTTAACATCCCTGATTCCAATCATATACATATACACACCACATACATAGAAATGAGAAGGAGTAGTGGCCAAGACACCTAATAAAAACCACAAGAAATGAACCACACAAGTTCCTTCTTCCAATATACTACAGATTTAAAACAAAGAAAGAAATGAAAGCTTCATCCAGAGAGAAATAAAACATCACTACAGAGGCCAGGTATTAGAATCATAGAGTTGAAAGAGACCTCTTGGGTCATCCGGACCAACCCCCTGCCAAGAAGCAGGAAAATCGCATCACATAATCTGGGAGATTATATCATCATATAATCTGGGAGAACAGAAACACTTTCTTTTAAAAAAAAAACCCTTAGAAATATAGTACAAAAATTGCACCTTCAGCAACACCGATGTCCTGTGACATTGTCTGACATCAAAAAGGGTGAGGTATCCTTCAAAATATCATACCAGACTTCTAACACAGTGACTTTCCTGTTTTGTAAATAAGACAGTTATACTCTTAGAGAAGGAAGTGTGTAAAATGATCTGTGTACTATAAATTAAATTACTGGGCATTTTAAGTTATTAAATTTCTGAAGGGAGCAGAGTCAGCCTTGGTAGAAGTTTCCTTTTCCTCGTTCATATTAGTTTTGAGGTTAAGACACTATGCATGTCCTTGGTTTCTTGACCACACTACTTATCTCAGATCTTCACCAGCATGCCCTCTGTGGAATGAGAATAAAGAACTAAACTTGTAGGTTTTATGATCAGGGTTTCAGCTCTCACCTCTGTCTTGAACTCATGTTCTTCAGCAAGTTGCTGTTCTTTTAGCCTTACAAGTTTGACATCTGATTAGTGGGCACCTTCTGACTTTCCAAGGTGGTGATTTTATGAGTGTATTCTCAACTGTTCAAATTCCTAGTGGGTCCCTTAGCCCACTAAGATTACTGCAGATGCAGAATGCAGCCAGGAAATCAGAAGATGTTTACTTCTTGGGTGGAGAGCAATGACCAATCTTGATAAAATAGTGAAGAGTAGAGACACTGGCAACGAAGATCCTCATAATTAAAGCAATGGTATTCCCTGTAGTAATCTATGGATGCAAGAGCTAGACTGTAAGAAAGGCTGAACAAATGAAGATAGATGCTTTTGAGCTGTGGTGTTGGAGGAAAATTTTGAGAGTGCCTTGGACCGCAAGAAGATCAAACCAGTCCATACACCAGGAAATAAAGCCCAGCTGTTCATTGGAGGGATGAATATTAGAGGCAAAGATGAAATAATTTGGCCACATAATGAGAAAATAGGATAGCTTGGAGAAAATAATGATGCTGAGGATAATGGGAGGAAAAAAGGAAGAGAGGCCGACCAAAGGCAAGATGGACTGACTGAGGGTGTCGATGGCTGACAGGGAGCCCTGGCGTGGGCTGGTCCATGAGGTCACAAAGAGTTGGAAATGACTAAACGAATGAACAATAACCCTTAGCCCAAAAACATGGGACCCTTGCCATTGTTTTTGTGAATAATTTATTCAAATTTTAATGAATACACCTGGAGCCTTAATCCCTTTCTTCCACTGTTCTTAAACACTCGATCTTATCTTCTTTGCTATAACACAATGTAGCAAGAACACATCATTATTGCTTGATTATAATCAATGAAAAAAATATTGTGTAGTGTGGGAAATCAAGCACAATATCCACCAGAAATCCACTATGTACCATAAGCTGTGAAAGTACTCACTCTTGAAGGTCTTCTTGCTGTATAAATGAAAGAAGCCTGAATTCCTTGTTGCTGCAAAGCTCTGGCAAAACTTCCAATTAATTGGTCTGTAAACAGAAATGATTAAGAATAGCTTAATGTCTTTTACTTCACCCAGGAGAGCTGAGATATTTAGCAAGGTAAAACAGACTAGACTTCAAAGAGTTGTCTGTGCTTATTAATATTTAAATATCTTTGTGGCACAGTGTGCATGACAATTTACACAAACAGAATAAGACATCTACTTTGCCCTGGGGAGCTTAGGATCTACATCACGTGATGTAAACAACAGCTCAGACATTAACCAGGGAGAAATGCTATAAGTTTCATAAGGAGCTTTATAATACAGGCATTCCAAGAAGAAAAGCTACTGAGAAATTCTTGGGGAGGTCGGATACAGCCACCTTAAAGCACTTTGGAGAATAACCAGAGTTTGACCAAGGGGTATTCAGAATGTTATGTATTCACACTGTTAAGAGGAATAGGCTCCCAGATATATGATAGCATGGCAGCAGCATTTTTGCAGTAGCGCATATGCGGACTTACAAAGGAATCTTATACAAGAGTGTGTGCTATACATAGAATCATAGAATCATAGAGTTGGAAGAGACCCCATGGGCCATCCAGTCCAACCCCCTGCCAAGAAGCAGGAATATTGCATTCAAAGCACCCCTAACAGATGGCCATCAAGCCTCTGTTTAAAAGCCTCCAAAGAAGGAGCCTCCACCACACTCCGGGGCAGAGAGTTCCACTGCTGAACAGCTCTCACAGTCAGGAAGGTCTTCCTAATGTTCAGATGGAATCTCCTTTCTTGTAGCTTGACGCCATTGTTCCGTGTCCTAGTGTCCAGGGAAGCAGAAAACAAGCTTGCTCCATCTTCCCGGTGACTTCCTCTCACACATGAAATCATTTTCCTGAATGCTTTACTGGGGCAGTTCTGTATAGTGTATTCCTTATGCATAACTTACCATTTTCCACAAGGTCTTTTTGAAAGGAGAGTTCATTTGTCCTACATGAAGAAGATAGGGGGAAATTGCAACAGGAACACTTTGAATACTAACATAATCATTCTTGCAAGCAAACAATTTGAATTATTTCATTGATAAGGAAAACACTTCTGTATAATTTTAGGAGAGAGGAAACAAATATAACAATCTGAGAAAACATAGAAAAGGTACAATGTATTTGGGTTTTATTGTTGTTTGAAAGAGTGTAGTGTTGACAGATAAAGTATAGTCTACTTTTAAAAAATTCTGACGACACAGCTGATATGCCATAGTATCACTCCCCCTAGTACTAACAGAAAACAAGTCATACTAGTCCATTGTTTTGGGTAGTCCCATTTGAAAACAGCATTGTCTTTACTCATGAAGACAGCTGAATGCTGATACTGTTTATCAAACCCTCACCACACATGCACAGCACTATTACAGAAAGTCCCGACTTATCTGATGGGTTAGGAACTTGACCACTGTCAGAAAATAGAATTGGCTGAAAAATGGAAGTTAAGTGTGTCAAACTACATTAATTCTGCACCCTTGATTAAAGTCTGTAAAATGGTGAGTGTAAACTGGAAATTGGAAAGCAGGAGGGAAGAAAAGTGTTAACTATCCTTCTCTATAACATAGTCCCAGTCTGGAGACTCAACTCAACTGCAGCATATGGAGGAGGAGGAAGATTAAATCTTGTCAGGCTTTTAGAATTCCCATTTATTTTTTAAAATCATTTCCTAGGCAATCAAATATTTTTCATGCAATTTTGTACAAAGGGAAACTTGGTTAGAAGCAAATTCAGCAATAGTTAAACTGACAGCAGAACTAGCAATTATTGGATAAGACAGATAAACATATCCTGTCACACTCAATAATTTATCCCTCTATTGAATAATTTTACCTTGTAAGATTTCTGACAACATGTATAATATTGCCTATAATGATAGATTGCATTGCAAAAGTAATGCAGGAAAGCAAAAATGTCTATATTAGATCAGTTTCTATTCCCAGAATTTCCCATAATGCCTGACATCCAGAAATTAACTACAATGCCTAGTGGCATTTGGCATGGATATCAGTGAATTAAGAAGGGAGACTAGACCTGATACCCCCTTACACCTCTCCAGCAAATAGGAGGCAGAAATGAACAATGGCATACTATGGTTGTCAGGCTATCAGGATTTTTAAAAAATCCATTGTTTTATCATGTAATGAGAGGCAGTATAAGACATAGTAATACTAGTCAGATATATGATACCAGTCACAGGGCTGCTGGGCATCATGTGAAGCTTCTACAGGGATGTGAGCATGGTGGTATCTTGAGTATTTAGCAGGATAAACCCTGGCCCAAGTTTAAGATGAGACATTTTTTTCTGATATTCTGCATTGAGGAGAGCTAAGAGTTAATTTTTCTTGCTTTGAGATTGGCATTTGGTTAAAGGGAGATTTAAATGTGCCACGTTCCTGCCCAGGTTAGGGTTGGAAAAAAGAAAGCATATCATATATTGAGGCAGCTTTAAATTAAGGGATCGTGTGTCACACCATTGCTCCTCAGTGATATTTTTGTATTTTTTAATGTTGTGCAATGGACTTTGAACAAGGAGTTTTAGCTCATTCATGCTTTCCCATTCCCCTTCAACCATGTTCCTATATGCATTGGCAAAGCTAGTGTAAATGAACAGCTGTATTCATGGGCACATTCTTTCAATCATGGAGGCTGTCTTGTACATAGAATACAGCTTGAGATTATAGTTTCAAAAAGAATTGTGTAATTGTTACATATGAATAGCTCCAGCATAAGACTATATTTTAGAGATAACTTTCTAAGCCCTGTTTGAAACATTCATGGTCCATAACCCTATGGACCCATGATTCTCAAAGCATAATGAATCAACATGTGGAGAAAGGAGTGCAATAGTTTGGAGTATGGAGGTATGCTTTCAATTACATCTCCTAGAATACTCCTCTTCTCTCTGATGCTATCACTTTCCTCACATTGAAAACAATAAAACTTTAAATGGGTAGTTTTGGAGTGGTACTAAGATAAAAGTTAAGGGTAAAGGTTTTCCCTTGACGTTAAGTCCAGTCATGTCTGACTCTGGGGGTTGGTGCTCATCTCCATTTCTAAGCCAAAGAGTCGGCGTTGCTCGTAGACACCTCCAAGCTCATGTGGCCGACATGACTGCATGGAGCACCGTTACCTTCCCACCGGAGCAGTACCTACTGATCTACTCACATTAATATGTTTTCAGACTGCTAGATTGGCAGAAGCTGGGGCTAACAGTGGGAGCTCATCCCACTCCCCGGATTCAAATCGGCAACCTTTCGGTCAGCAAGTTCAGCAGCTCAGCGGTTTAATCCACTGTGCCACCAGGGGCTCCAGTACTAAGATATGGCCAACATAACTTGAAAACAACATAAAGGCACACAATGACAACACTGAGAACTACAGTGCATTCCAGAATGAGTCAATGGAATGTACAGGACAAGTGTTGTCTATGATTACTTTCAACTTCCTATCCAGTCTGTATAACTATTGTGCATGGTTTGACATTTAAAGATTTTACAAAGTCTATCACAAATATATTTTGTATGTACATATGTGTTTTGAGCTTTAGGACATGTCATACCTTCTGGTTTGGTGTAGGTTTATCACAAATAAATTTGATTTGGACACATTCACTGTCAGATGTGGTAAATCAAGAGCATCCACATGGACTATGGTCCAGTTCAGAGATTCCTGGAGGTAGTCTGATAGGTGATTAATCGCATGACAGTCAACAGCTGGCAAAACCAAAGATGGTGAAGTCTTAAGAAGTTCCTGCAGCAAGTACAAAGAACTGTTAATTATGAAGTGGATAATTACAGAAAGGTGATTGCTTTTTATACTTTGATAAGCTTTGATTGCAGCCTTTTGTAGCCTCTGTTATGGAAAATAAACTCTGTTATCCTCAAGAAGAACTTGACATGCAATTTCATTACATAAACAACCCAGTAATGATCATCAACAAGCTAAACTAAAATGTTTTCAGTGCTGCCCATTTTCTAAATGTTTTTGAAAGATTAGCATTTCCCTGTGCATCAAAATGCTTGTTTTGAAACCAGATTATTCTTGTTATATGAAAAAAAAATCTTAGAATTTTATATCTGCTAACAGCCCTCTCTGACAATATGCAATATTATCAACTTATAAGCTATGACCTCATCAGATGAGTTACTTGGCCTGTCATATGTCACTTGTTCTCCCCTTTCAGGAATGAGCCCATTACACGGCTCATGTGTACTTCTGGCTGGGCTCTATCCAGAAAGGGGAGAACAAGCAGAGTATGCCACCACGGTGGCAAGATGGGAGCCTTCCCACATTGCTCTACCAGCAATGGGGGAAAGCCAGGCAACAATGCTTCCTCCTATGGGATCGGGGTCACAGTAAATAATGCAATGTGGGATGTGGAGTGACAGATTTTTCACCCCACCCCCCTACCAGGAGCCCATGTATTTGCCATGATGGGCGAAGTCCTTGATCATATTTCAGTGTTCATCACATCATAACTGAAATATCAAGTACTGAAGTGATTCACATGACTGAATGAATGATCCAACAGAAAATAAACATTCACATGCCCTCAAATCAGAGTTTGGAAAATAGAAATGTTACACTTTTTGACTCCACAACTCCCAGAATTCTGCAGTCATCATGGCTAATGACAGAAATATTCTGTGAACTGTAGTCCAAAACACAATATTTCAAAACCCCTACCAAATGCATTAGTGGAGCTAATTCAGTTGATAAGAGTTTATTTGCCTGAGTGGGTCAAATCACAGGCCCCTTCTACACTCCCAATCTATATAAATAAAAATGTAATGTTCGTTTGTGGGATTAACATAACTCAAAAACCAGTGGACAAATTGACACCAAATTTGGCAGCAAAACACATACTAATCCAATCTATGCCTTTCAAACAAAAAATCCTTAAAAATGGAGAGGAAATAGAAAAATAACTTAGGGAGCATGCTCAGAAGACTCTCTCCCCAATGCGTGAGAAGAATAATGCATCAACCGTTGTGAGGGAAGAGAA